AGATCAAAAAGATCAGGAGTCTATATTGACATATAGACGTATATATTGATACATATATAGACATACTTGAGGGAGTCCTTTAAGTCTATATGACAGGCGGCGGGCGTTTAATGACGATTAAATCTGGAGATTTGGGTAGTCTGCACTAATGACCTGAAGTGCCAATGTAAATTACCATTATAGATGAGGTATTTATAGAGCTGCTAATGAGCGTGTATGTATGTATGTTGAAGGCCAGGGAGTCGTTACAGTCTAGATGAGATGATATGAAACTTTTGGACACGTCTTTCAACAGTGTTGGTTCCAATTTAATATTCAGTATTTTGAATTCCAAAGTTTTTTATTCTAGTAGATAATTTACTTCCATGGTTTTTTATCGTCAAGCTATCTTTATATTTTCCGTCCTAAATAAACACATTATAATATGACACCTTCGCATCATTAGGGTTATTTCATCCTTATAGCATTCAGATTGAAATTTTCCTAATATCACAGCTAGGTATTATATCCAAAACAATTATTCCTATACTTCTTCTTGGGCGCAACTTATATTGAAAGGCTATAAGTTCTCCCCCGTTTATCTTATATACAAATAAACACTTTTATGTAAATCAATGTCAACCACAAAGTTACATGTCATCATTTAACCGCACACCGTCCTTTGGGAATTCTTTTCAGTTCGGTTCTGTTTTGTTTTCCATTGGTTGCTAGATTAAATTTGTCTCCACAATGGCAAGACATGAAATGACTCCTCAATATCCATCAAAACAAAAAAAAGAGTTTTTCGTATGTCCTGGTAACCACCAGCAAAGTCATAAAACTCCTTCCATCAAATCGGGAACCAAAAAAAAGAAACTTGAGGTCATAAAATAGAATGCTATTGCCATAGTTGGCCAAACTATTACTCCATCAGCGGATAGTGGTGGTGGTGCTACGTTAAACCAAAAATGACAGCAACAACAGCAAAAAAAATATGAATGTTCATCAAAAAACAAGAAGAACAAAAATCGTCACAAAAAACACACATCAAAAAAACTCTGGTGCAATAAAGAGAAACAAAGAAAAATGGTGCGCAAAAGAAAGACAAGAAATAACTATCATCATTCTTTACACAGCATATTTCGTGACTAAGCGTCTAAAAACGTCAAAGACATAAAACTTTTGTCTTTAACCCCTTCTACCCTGTTTTTAGCTATTCCCTCATTTTTCTGGTCATAAATTCTGGCTGGCTAAACCTTAAATGTAGATGACCAGAAGGAATTTGCACAGAAAAAAATGTGTATCCTGCGTTCGCGTTATTAAAAGAAAAATTGCCGAAACACCAACGGAAGTACTGAGGCAAGTGTAAGTTGACAATTCGGGATGGTACTGCACTTTTGCAATGACATAGTGGATTTAATTTTAGCCGAATGATAGGCATTTCTTTTTTGGTGGGTTGGAAAATTGTTCGCATTAGTGGGGTAAAGGATAAAAGGAATGTGGAATAACCAAATTTCGTAGGTTCTGTAACATAACAGAAAAAAGGCATGAAAAGATCTATGCAAAAAAAAAAAAAAATCGGATAAAACGTTCAAACTACCAGGAATGAGGCTTGACATTTATATGGGGGCTAAGTTTTAACATGGACCCTTATCGAAAAATGTCGGCTGCAATATATTCAACCTTTACCAACTAGAAATGTAGATTACAGCCGTATGGAAGATCTTACGTCTTACGTCTTAGGTCTTACCAGGACCAAGTTATATGCAATATATAGTAATATGGAAGTTGTGTCGGAACATCGAAATTGTTCTGCAAATATGTTCTTCACTCCCAGGAACCCAGAATACCGACAATGGGGCTCTCCAAAACTTCGGGCTACGCCAAAACTTGGTTCTATATAGTAAATTATCTCACTAGACCTTGTTAACCCTCCAGGACCAAATTACAGCCTACATCGACGGAAAATGTTATTAGAAACGTTGTTATGATATACCTTCAATAAATAATAGGTTTTAAAGGATCCCGTGGTAATATCCACCACTCCAAAAATATTTTTAAAAAATCTACGCCTTACTTCGAAATGTCAAAAATATTTAAAAAAAATATTTTTTTATTTTTAAATATATTTTTAAAAATCTACACCCTCCTTCGATACATAAAAACTATTTGTTAAAAATCTAACGTAATATACACCATAACCATGTTATTAATTATTACATTTTTATCAAAAACTCTAAAAAATATGTTTAAAAAAATCATAGCCTCTTTAAGCTTCTCAAAATTGTGATTTAAAAAATCTTCGCCTCTCCAAAAATATCTTTTCAATCTTCTTGCTCTTCGCTTTGTTACAAGAGGCATTTAGGTATGAAAGGTTTTTTGTATAAAAGCAATAGCTTTTGGGGAGAATATCCCAACAAAAAAACTAAGGGAACTGATGAGGATTAGTGGCATCATTCTACACTATATGTGGGAGGTATATCTAAACTATATATGGGAGGTATATCTAAATATGATCAGATTTTCACGAAACTTAATAGATATCATTCTAAACTTAATTCAGTACCCTATGCCAAATTCGTGCAAATCGAAAGATATTTAGGGACTTTGGTGCACCACTTACCTCAAATCGGACGAAAATATATATGGGAACTATATGTAAATCTGTACCGATTTTCACGAAACTTTACAGACATCATTCTACACTTAATTCAGTACGCTATGCCAAATTTCGTGCAAATCGAAAGATATATAGGGACTTTGGTTCACCATTTGCTTAAAATCGGACAAATCTATATATTTTCCCAAATTTCAATACGGTTCGTCCTTGGGCCAAATAAATGAGCTGTGCCAAATTTCATCCAAATCGGATCATAAATGCGACTTGTACTTTGTTCACAATTCAACATGGACAGATGGACGGACATGCATAAATCGACTCAAAAAGTGATTCTATGCATATTCTCAAAAGGAACCATAAGTCTATCTCGTTTCCTTTTGCCTGTTACAAACATATGCACAAAGACACGATACCCTGTACCACAGTGTGGTTAAGGGTATACAAATCCACACATATAAAAACCTCCTACAAACATTTTTTAACCAGTAAGGAACGTAGTAAAGTCGGACTATATGATAACCTTCACACATGAAATTGAACAAACTTAAAAATGCAATCTTTATTTATATGTAACCTGACTAACGTCAATCCCTACACAGGCCATTCTGCATGGTAAATTTTGTTAGCATGAATAGGTCGAAATTATATATGGAAGCTATGCTATATCTAAATCAGAACCGATTTCAAGGAAACTTGCACGGGACTAATTTATATTTATTTCAGTCAATCGGTCTAGCTATGGGTCATTAGTGCATCATTTACTTAAAATCGGACGAAACTATATATGGGAGCTATATGTAAATCTGAAACGATTTCGAGAAAACTTGAGACTCGTAATGGTGTACTAACTTTAATACATTGTACAAAATTGTGTGCCAATCGGTCACACGTTGGGTCTTTAGTGTACAATTTATGCAAAATCGGCAGAAAGGATATATGGGAGCGATATCTAAATCTGAAACGGTTTTTACGAAACTTAACACACGTTATTCTAGACCTAATTCAGTACGCTTCAGTTCTTATTTTTGATGGCGGAACATCGGAATCTGAAAGTTCCAACGTTGTTGGAAAGAAAGAGAGACTTCGCACAACAATTAACAAAATGGCGGAACTTTGAAAAAAACGAGTTCTTGAAATTTTCACTTGAAATTTTGTAGGGACATTCTAGAATAAGTGTAGATTCGAATTAAATAAAAAAAGTTTACAGCGTGAAGGGGGGGGGGGGTCCCCTTAAATCGGACGAAAATATATATGGGAGATACATATATCTAAATCTGAACCGATTTCAACAAAACTTGGCATATATTAACTTAGACCTAATTCAGTACTCGGTGCAAAATGTTGTCTCAATCGGACCAATATTGGGAGTTTGGTGCATCATTTACATAAAATCGGACGAAGCTATATATGGGAGCTATATCTAAATCTGAACCGATTTTCCCCAATTTCGATAGGGTTCGTCCTTGGGTCAAATAAGTGATCTGTGCCAAATTTCATCCAAATCGGATCATAAATTCCACCTGTACTTTGTTCACAAAAATACATGGACGCACGGACAGACGCAAATGCATAAATCGACGCAGAAAGTGATTCTATGCATATTCTCAAAAGGAACCATGTATCTATCTCGTTTCCTTCTGCCTGTTACAAACAAATGAACAAAGACATAATACCCTGTACCACAGTGTTATGAAGGGTATAAAAATCCAGGCCTACAAAAACCTCTCAAAAATATATTTTTTGTAAATTCACCTCTATCAATACCGCCCTAAAAAAATTATCACTGCCCTTACAAGGCAAAATTCAAATAACAAAAATTAATTTCAGCCGAGCACGGCTAGGGCTCGAACCTAGGTCCTCAGAACAACACAAATGTTGCCAAGACCGCCTAACCTTCTTCCAAAACGGTTGCGCAAAAACATATGTGTATACCATGGAAGCATTTGTAGGTGTTTGGATTAATTCGCTACAACAAAAATCTGCTTTGGAAAGGACTGTCGAACTTTGACAAATTTGAATTTAATTCGCATATGCAAGTTTCGCATCTGGGCGGAATAGATACGAGTTATCAACGTACGACATTTGTAAAAGCCACATAGCCCAATATGCCTGATGAGCCGCTTAACCAACGGCGAAACGCGTCGCATAATGGTGGGTACGTAGGTTCTTCTCCTGGCTTTCCTTTTCATTGCAAAACTTAGATCATCAAGCTCGACTCGAAAGAGTATAAATAACCACTTAATCCACATCTATAAAAAACTCGCAGAGATATATTTTTCCACTCTTATGGTTCTAAATTTCTTGAAATGGTTTGAAAAATCTCTCAAAAAAATTGAAGTGAAAATTGATTATGATTCCCATTTTTTGTATTGTTTTCTTACAGATTTTTCATCGTACTCACCTGCAACATCATCATAGCCCAGCACCACATCCTCTACTTTGCCATTTGCATCCGGTACTTCAATGCTGGTAATGGTAGCACCCAAAGTGATAACCTTTTGTGATTTGAAAACACAGGAACACAAGACAAGTGAATGGAAGGCAAGTGAGTATTTGCAACAGTGTTACAAAGTGAAAAGTTGTTTTGTTGTTGTTTGTGTTGTTTCGCGAAGAAAAAGTTGATGTATTTTAATTGAATTGCCCAAGAAGTAGTCGATATAGAAGACAATGGCAGTCCGACAATCAACATCATCATCGTCGTCGTCAGCAGGGAAAGACATTGTCATCATCATTGCCAGCATTTTGATCATCATCATCCAGTTCGGTAGGGCACAGAGAGATTTTTAGACAGATTCCAAGAAAATGTTTAAAGTATGTTTGTGTCCATTGGCCATGGTGTTCATGTTCGAATATTGATTTCGTTGTTGTTGTTGTCGTCGTTAGGTTCCATGGTTCCATTCAGGCAAAAATTGGTAAGGTTGTAAAAAGTATAGAACACAAGAAAAAGGAGAAAAAGAAAAAAAAAAACAAAGTGAGAATTAAGAAAGTTTCACAGCAATCTGCAAGTTTTTTTCATTGGTCTTTCCATTTTATGACTCAACAGTCTGGACATTTCTTCTACAGTAACTCTTCAATGGCTACAATAGCTATGTGGCATATTCTTGAACATATTACAATTCCGGGGCATTATCCAAAACAAATACTGTAACAGATATGGCATAAAGTTTTTAAGTTTGATTTTCTTCTTCGCCTTTACTTTACTTTTTTTACTCGGTATTTTGAATATATTTATGGCCTGGAAATTTTCCTTGTTATCCTTGCTAACCAAATAGAAGATGACAAAAAATGGCAAAAAGTACCAACAAAACAATATTGTCTTGACTTTCATCAAAGTAGTCCTTTGGGTAAAATTTCGATAAAAACAAATAGCTGGTTGTGAATGGACATCGAAGGCTTTAATTCATTGCCTGGATAAACAAGTTATATCGCCACAGTAGCATATAAACGAAGCTGTAGATAAGGATATTTGCGAATGTGAAACTAAAGCTTTTTGTTGTTGTGGTTTGTCATCCACCTGTCATAAAAGTTATAGTCGTTATTGAGATTTTTGGTCAACGAAAAATAAACAACTGTTTTTTTTCAATAAAAATTCCAAGTTTTGGAGGAAGTGTTCGATAGATGGAAGATGTCATACACCAATTGAAATTTTTGAAGAACTGAAATTTCCTCGGCAGACACATAGAGATCCATGAATGTAAATATTTTGTCAAAATAAATATTTATTCAAAATAATATCGACTCGCCAAAATTAAAGCAATTTTACATTTTATAGAATTATATATCAGCATTTTCGATAAGAAATTGTGGCATTGGTTAGGCAAATGTTTGTTAAACACTTGCACTTGCAAATGTTTTTGAAATTGAAGTACGCGTATCAAATGATTGATATTTTGTCATACTGATAACAAATTCGAATTATTATTTGACTATTATAAAATCTTAAAAAAAACTTGTGATTTTGAATCGTCGTCCCAATTCAATGACAATTTAACGTACATTAAAACAAAATAAAAACAACAATAATGAGTTAGCTACTGGTACAGGCATAACACAAAACTGTGAGAGCGGGAGTATCAATTTAGCAAAGCAATGCGAATTGTCTCACACCCTCACTCAATGCTTTGTTCATTGCACGCGAAATACTTGTAGTGCAGAATTAGATAGGGTTGCCATATATATTTAGGCGGCTTCCACATACGGTGAAGTGTGTATTAAATTTGCCATTCCGGTTGCTAAATATCCAAAAAATTACCGGAGACCCTATAAACACTCTTGATCAGAATTCAATTCTATGTCGATGCCTCTATTTAATAGTAACACTTATTATTTGATAGTTTCCGAATCGGATAAAATTTGATTTTTCAGTTTCTCAGTGGATGTCAAATCTTTCAATTAAACATGATCAATATTTCCTAAAAGTGAACAAACAAAGTAACTCTAAATACTAAATTTCGATATTTTCGACAGCTCGGGCAATTTCTTCATTCAAATTAGCAGTAGTTTTATATTTTGGAGTTTCATTGAGTAGAAAATCTTCGTTCTAATTTGACTTATAACAAGTGAAAAAGCGTTAAGTTCGGCCGGGCCGAACTTTGGATACCCTCTACCATAGATATACTGACACGCACTAGAAATGAAAATATAGGGAACATACCAAAAAGTGGACCTATACCGACATTTCTAAAAACGGATTATGCAAACCATAATACAAGTTTCAGAAATTTTTAATGGATAATTATACACTCAGCCTGGTGAAAATGTGCCTCATCGAAATATTAGTTCTAGACCCCACGTTTCTTTGACCAAATCCCTTTCAGAAAATTTAGATTTCATCCAAACTTTGCCTATCTTATTATTTCGTCCAAACTTAGTTTAAATTCAAAGATGGAGAATATCGGTCCACTCCTTCTGGAACCTCCACACAGGGGCTAGGTCTAAATGCGGCTATAGTTCATTATCGAATCGTATGTTCTATTTTTTTTATCTCGATATCCTCCGCAGGTGAAATGATTACAACAGAGTTTTAGAACCAAACTCAAAACGCTGAAGAAATCAGATAACTATCTACATATATATAAAATAGAAAAAAATTTGTTTGTTTGTTTGTGTGTATGTTCCCGATAGACGCAAAAACCGCTGAACAGATGTTAATGACATTTACACTGTATGTCATGACATGCCCTGAAAGTAACATAGGCTAGCTAAACTTCTAAAATTCCGCGTGGATGCCGAGTTATAGCGTCAATAGTAAACATACCTCAAAGTTTCGGAACATGTAATATGCGAATATCTTAAGAACGGTTACTGATACCGTCTTCAAAATTTGTGTGAATAACGTAGGTGTAAATACACACCATCCATACAAAAACGAGCTTGGTACGATCAACGGAAAATACAATTTCTGCTGCATTTTCAAAATCTGCATATTGAAAACAGAAAACATTTCGTTTGTAGACTCAAAAATCGCTGGACAGATTTTACTGAGACTTTCACAGAACGTTATGACATGTCCTGGTAATAACATAGGTTATATAAACCTTTAAGATTTGGCGTGGATGCGGAGTTATAGCATCGAAGGTACTAATGCCTCAGAAGTTATAAACATGTAATTTGTGTATATCTTAAGAAAAGTTACAGATACCGACTTCAAAATATGTCTGAGTAACGTGGGCTTAAGTACGCATCTTCCATATAACAGGATCGCGGACTACCTAGGGAAAATGTACTCCTCATTGCATTTCTATCTATACATATGTATTTAGAAAATTGAAAGCATATTGTTTGTGGACTTAAAAACCACTGAACAAATTTTACCAAGAGTACATCAAGGGTGGATGCGTTGTAATATCATTAAAAATAATCATACTTCTGAATGAATATATGCATGAATGTTAGTAGCATGTAGCTACTTTAACATTTGTTTCAGAAAGATGGCTGCAATTGCGCATCATTTTGGAACGTTGAGGGTATATTTTGAAATATATAAAATACAAAATATGTATGTATGTGTATTGAAATACAAATAGAATGAAATGATTGACATTATAATTTTTCATTTTTGTCAGTTTGTGAAAAATTTTATTTCAATAGAAAAAAAACCAAAACAACATTATTCTTATGTCAATGCCTGATATCGAATATTAGGGTTGGTCATATATAAAAACGTTTGGGACGAATTGAGAATAAGTTCATTGAAAATAGTATTTGAAGTGAAGACCCTAACATACTGTAACAATTTATTAAAAAAAATAAATATATAAAACATGAATTGAATGAATCTGGAAAACACGTTATAAGTCGAATAGTGGGATATTAAGATGTGCAAAATAGTTTTTTACCCTATTAAGTGTACTTATCTGTACTGACAATAAAGACCAATTCAATAAATGACCAATAAAAATTCAAGATTCAGGGGCAGCGAAGCGCCACGGGTCCTGCTATTTTAATATAAAAAGGGGGTTATATGGGGACTACCCCAAAAAGGGTAGTTTGGATATTTGTTACCATATACGTCAACAAAATACTAAATTGCAGCAAATTCGGTTGAAAAACGCTCTCAAGAACCACAAAATTCCTGAAAATTTGGGGTGCCCTTGTATGGGGGCTACCAGAAAAAGTGGACCTACATTTATAATTTTTTGTGGAGACATTTAGTACCCAATAAGAACCCAATGTAACAAATTTCAGCGAATTCGGTTGAGAAATGCGCTCTAGAACCCCAAAACACCGAAAATTGGGGTGTACCCCAATCGACTTAATCATTTTTGTACGCACTCCATGTTGTGAAGGCTATTAAATGTTCAGACTGGCTGAACATTTAGACATTTCTGAAATATTGGCCAAATTTACCCAAGAAACTCCGTTTTAGCAGTGTGGTATCAATAAGCAAAATATTCCCAATAAGATTTCACTATGGGTCGCCAAATAAAATAAATTGATAGGGTTAATACATAGCTCTTAAATATTGTTTTCTATTTGAGTTTATAAATAAGAAGTAATTGTTAAGGTTTATTTCCTTTATTTGCGAATATTAGCCAAATTTAACCACAAAACGTAACTTTAGCAGGGTGTTATCAATGAAGGAAATATTCTCCTTAAAATTTCACCATGGGTTACCAACTAGAAGGCGTAAGATAATATAAAATATAAAAAAAATATCTGTTCTTAAATAGGTTTCTATTTTATTTCATTATTTTTGCTGGACTTTTTGGACTTTTTAGATTGAATGCTAAATTGTCGCACAGTGACACTATTTAGATAGGATATATCTACCGAACAAATGAAATTTATGGGGTAACTATATACCACCAAAAATATCGGTTCACAGTTGAGTTAAAAATAAGAAGTTGTTTGAGCTTTATTTTAACCATTTCTGAAATATTGGCTAAATTTACCCCAGAAACACATTTTTTGCGGAGTGGCATCAATGAGAAAAAAATTCTCCATAAAATTTCTCTATGGATCACCGATTCAATAAAAAATCGGTTATAAAAGAAGATTCAATACTTTGGGGTACCTTTTTTGACTGGACCTCATAATTATTTGTAGATATTTTTTTATTATTATAAAAATTATATTTTTATGCATTTCTCTCTTCAGGTAAGCCTATTTTTATACCCTTCATCACACACTGTGGTACAGGGTATTATGTCTTTGTGCATATTTTTGTAACAAGCTAAAGGAATCGAGACAGATCCATGGTTCCTTTTTAGAATATGCATAGAATCACTTTCTGAGTCGATTTATGCATGTCTCTCTGTCCGTCCGTCCATTTTTTTGTTGTGAACAAAATACAGGTCGCATTCATGATCCGATTTCGGTGAAATTTGACACATGTCACTTATTTGGCCCAAGGACGTATCCTATTAAAATTGGAGAAAATCGGTTCATAGCTCCCATATATATTTTCATCCGATTTTTAGTAAATGGAGAACCATACTCCCAATATTTGTGCGATTAAGACAAAATTTTGCACAGGGTACTGATACTGGCATACACCAATCTAGACCCAAATTGGTGTATGCCAAGTTTTGTTGAAATCGGTTCAGATTTAGATATAGCTCCCATATATATATATATATATATATATATGTATATATATATATATATATTCGTCCGATTTTATGTAAATGGAGCACTATACTGCACATATTGGTCCGATTGAGACAAAATTTTACAAAGAGTACTGAATTAAGTCCAGATTGATGTATGCGAAGTTTGCTTATAATCGGTTCAGATTTCGATATAGCTCCCATATATAGTGTTGTGGATATCGGTTCGGATGTAGATAAAATGGAGAAGTCTATGTCTGTTCGCTCTACATGAGCGAAAATCACATAGCCCATTGATGTTTCGAGGTAGTCCCATAGTTTCTTTGTTGCCTTTTGTAATTAAAAAAAAGTTATTTTCGATGGAGGGAAAATTCCAATGGCATTCGAAAGAGTACATATCTTACTCTGGTATGACAAAGAATAACACTGTGCTACAAAACAAACAAATTTCAGGGGTTCTAATGTACAAATTTTGTATAGTTGGAGTCGCTGGAACGCGAAGATACCTTTGGTTTTTCTGGATCACTTCGAAATTAGTTTTATAACGGTAAATGTAGAGAAAATGAGAAAAATCAAAACAATCGGTAAACAAAATGGATGACTTATACACATTTTTGTATTGATTCTGTGCATATTCTCTAAAGGAACTATGGGTCTATCTCGTTTCCTTTTGCCTGTTACAATCATATATGTATGTAACAGGAAACGATATAGACCCATAGTTCCTTTAGAGAATATGTAATAGTAGCGTCTTGACAAAAATTAAGTTTTTGGTCCATTTCATCACCGAAATATCCATGCAAAATTTTTCTGGCCATCAGCTCGAAATTTATACCCTCTAATGTAGTAATGGTAATATTAAACAATACCAGAATACGTAGACACCTCGTCTGACTAGATGGAACAATTAAATTAGTATCAGTTTATAGGTCAACCACTCCTCTTGGATAAACAATCAACTTCTTGGGTCCATGTCCTTCAGCAGTAAATATATACTTAATAAAATTACAATTTTGTCATCATTATCAGAACAGTTATGCTTATTCTATGGTCAAACGCCTTTCTCTGTGTAAAATTTCGTGATGTTCCTGTCATAATTATGGCCTCTGGATCAGTGTGGAATTGTACTAAATTGAGAATAAGTATGGGAGAGCATAACAAAAATAAATTAGTTTTGTCCATTCATCCCCTAACTGTTAAATAGTCATTAATAACCTTAGGGGTTCTTCTTTGAACAGAACCGGTCCTACATGCAAAATTTCGTGAAGATTGGTGCATAACTGGTGCCTGCATCGTGCTTACAAATTACGGACAAACACGCATGTCTGGATGGATTCAGCTTGTCGATATATATTATAGGTATACAAAGAGTGGGTCTAAGACCAATATTTGGCAGCGTTACAAACTCTGGGCCAAACAAAACTATAATACCCTTACAACATAGGAGGGTATAAAAATAAAATTAATTTTTTTGAATGGGAGGGTCCACTTAAATCAATGTGTGCTCTTTCTTGCCATTAGTACAGGCAATGGAATCAAAATTCCCCACACTTGGCAACCCATTAATGCAAACGTCACTTCAGCAATTCACGGCGTGTTTATAAACGACAGCAGGAAAGTAAATAAAAACAAAACACTTAGAAAAAAAAACACTTTGCCACATTTTGATACTGAAATAATCGCCTTACTTTACACAAAACTTCAACACCTTAACTTTATCAAACCAAGAGGCGAGTATTTTTCACGCCTACTCCTACACCCCGACAAAAACTGAAACAATGAAGCAAACCTGCATAATCAGCAGCAGCTACTCTTCGTTCGCAACTTCAACTCAACTCACCTGCACTTTCATTTGCATACCATTTGTGATGGTAAAGCGTTTTATTTCCTCCGTTTGTTTAGTCAAGGGATTGATGGCTGCCCCAAAAGTATCTTCGATTACGCGAATCATTGTTTTTTTCTTCTTCTGGTATTCCTTTTATTCAAATTCGGGATGAAAAGAAGTAATGTGAATGAGCTTCCACAACACCACGTTTCAAGTATTTTTCACGCTAGCTTTATATATATAGCGTTTAAAAAAACTCTAATATCTATTTGTCTTTAGTCTTTGGTCGCTTTAAAGAGTCGCGAACTGCCTCAACACAACACACCAACAAACTGGAGAATGCTAACAATCTTCAAGAGGTATTTATTTCTGTGTTATTAATAAAATTTTATGAGCCGATTAAATGCTGTCGCTGCCGCCGCCACCACAACCGAACAACACTAATAATGTTCACTTAACCGCGACAAGTGTCAAACAATGCGAAGAGAAATTTATTTTTATATTCGACACAGGCGAACTTCTCAGTCTTATCAGTTGAGTTGAGTGAGTTTTTTTGTGTGTTTGGAGTAATATCATCGATTGAAGAGGAGGCGCTCCCTCTCCCGTTAGGGAATGGGGGCCTCATTTTTTCTCCAGACAATGGAATGAGTAGTAGTTGGTTTTGTTTTGCTATGTCTCTCACACTCATATTTAATGCAGAAGAAATGCGGGAGAATGGCAAATGTTTGAAATGATAAGCAGCAACAACAAATCAATTCAAATAAATTTGCGGTTTACACTCGACGAAAAAAATTAAATGAAAATTTTTGCTAATTACGAAAAAGTTTTAGAGAACGAAAGAATTAGTTGTATTCTTGTGCCACATTTTTCTACGATCTACAGCGGTCATCATATACTGAAGTTAGCCCTATGGTCGTCACATAAGTGCACCATCTACTTTCAAAATAAGGTGGAACATTTTTTAGGAAAGCTTGAAACTGTTTACACACACTTGTAATGAAATTTTTAAAATTACAAACATTTTTCTTTGAGCGTATTATCTTTTGTATTTACACATTTAATATTAACCGAATTCGTTATTCGTTTTTAATGTGAATGCAATCTTGAGGTTTTTGTGTCCATTTTGCGGTTAAGATACTAGAATATTATTATGCTGCTGGTTTGGAAACCACTGCAACTAAATTAATAGGACATTAAAAAAAAATAAATTATTCCACATTATTTGTAATGTGTTCAGATGTTATTTTGTAAGGATGGTTAGGATGATCTAAGGGTGTGAAAATGGGGTATATTGTTGGAAAGTGGACACACCAAAATAAATAAACAATAATAAGTAGTGTTGGCGGGTTACCAATTGTATTTTGTTTTAGCAAAATAGTTGTTGTTTTTATAAAAAAAAACAAATATTTAATAGTGCGGAATTTATGACATTGTCCGCCCCGCCGAGGGGTAAGACAGATTCGGATCTCGCCACAGATCCTCATCAATGAGGGTGACAATTATTAGTAATTTAAATAAAATTATCAAACATTTTGTATTTAAAACTTATAAATATGATTTTTTCCAGAACAATTAGTTTCAGAACCTAGCGCCAAACAGTGTCAGAGTATATATTTATTGTTATAGCACTAATCGGCGCCTTGATATGTTCTCTGTCAAGAATTTGGCGACTGTTTAAAAAATGCATGCCCTAAATGTCCTTGGGAAAATATTCTTCAAATAGATCCACGACTTAAAAGTCCTTGAAACAAACATTCTTTAGAAAATCATGCCTTAAAAGTCCTTGAAGAAACTCACGCCTTTAAAGTCCTTGAAATTTTTCATTTAACAAAAATCCACGACTTAAGAGTCCTTTAACAAAAATTCTTTAAAGAATCATGCCTTAAAAGTACTTGAAGAAATTCACGCCTTTTTAAAAAAAATATTCTTTAACAAATTCACACCTTTAAAAAAATATTCTTTAACATAGTCACGCCTTTAAAAAAATATTCTTTAATAAATTCACACCTTTAAAAAAAATAGGTAAAAAATCAAGCCTTTAAAAAATTATTCTTTAACAAATCCACGCCTTGAAAGTCCTTGAAAAAATAGGTTGTTTCTGTTGGTCTTTGAAAAAATATTCTTTAAAAAATCTACGTCTTAAAAGTCCATGAAAAAATATTTTGTTTCAAAAATCCCCCCTTCTGTGGTGGTCCTTGATAAAAATATTATGTTGAAAGATATGAAGCGAACAGAATATTCAACGTCATCGAAAATGCTCACATCGTAACATATTTACCTTACCTAGATTATGTCCGAAGATGACACCTGACAGTCCATTTCTTCTGGTACCTCCCCCACCATAGTTAAAAATTTGGCTGAAAATTAATTTTATAATATCACGCAAACGGACTCTGCGCAACCCAATATTTAAACCATGACTGTTTATTATTTGGTTTAAGGGGACCCCCCCATTCTCGGGGTCAAAATTTTTGTTGATATAATTCGAATCTACACTGATTAAAGAATGTCTCAACAAAATTTCAAGTGAAAATCTCAAGAACTCTTGAAGATATATCCGATTTATTGTGTCAGCATCAAGTGACGGCTGAAGAGCTTCTCAAACTTTAAACGCGTTTTTCTCTAAACATTTTTTTGCGAATGGCGGGCACGATAACTCAAAAACTAATAATCCCATCGGTTCCAAATTTTGCAACGATTCTCTGGGAGTGTATAGCTCTCGTATGAACTAGGATAAAGCCAATCGGTGAAGATCTTCCTTATTTTTTAACTTGGTTTTTGGTAAAAAATTGGCGATTTTCCAAAAATATTTTTTCAAAGGTCCACCATTTTGTTAATTTTAGAGCGAAGTCATTAATCCTAGTTCATACGAGAGCCAGACATGTACTCTTTCTAACACCGTTGGAATTTTCGGATTCCGATGTTCCAGTGAGGAGTTATCATGCCCGCCATCGAAAATAAGGACTTTTCTTTAATTACAAAAAACAATAACAACAATTTTTTGTAAATTATTTTTCTTCTCTTTTAAATCTTCAAATATATATGTGCAAAGTTACAAACCTTAACAAGCATTGGTATTGATTTACCAGCCCATTGAAAATCTTGAAAAATTAAAATCGAGAATGGGTGGGGTTCCCTTAAATGTTAAAAATATGATAAAACTTATGGGAAAACTTCGTACAATAAAATTATATGTAAATGTGTTTACCTGCTATTCAGTGATCTATTGCATGGTATATGCTTTGTTAACTAATAGAAATTTGTACAAATTAAATAACAGTGAACTCCGGAAACTTGAGAATTATAAATATCGTACTAGTTTATGGTTAAATGTGACCAGTCTATTTTTAAGGGAACATCTTCTGCGATTGGATTTATCCTAGTTCATACGATATCTCTGTAGGTCCAACGAAAGCTATTCTCGAGTAGTAGTACCTCGAAACAAGTGGTCTCCTCATCTCCCGTACTTGAGTGACATAATATGGCCAATTTTGAATTTTACACCATAATTTGTTTGTCTGAAATCGGTGGTTACCATCTTTAACATAGCGACAATATGGTGGGACCTTTATATAGTGTTCCTCAAACGACAAATTACAGTCCCGTTTGTGGGAAAATATCGACAATGATGCAACACCTAGGCTATGTCAACACAAGGACTTATTTTGTAATCATGCATTTAATGCACATAATAAAACCCAATAGAACTCCGTTTGTCTAAAATTCTAATTGTACCATTTAGTATCCATAACACTGTGCAACACACAAAATAATTACCGGGAAATTCCAACAGATTATGAAAGAGGAGCTAAAAAAGAAGACACGTGTATCGGCGTTTTGAAAGTTTACGTCGGGAGGTAACCCACTTTTCAAGAATTTTGATAATTTTCGAATTATGATTTCATGAAATCCTTGCATTTTAGGTATATAGTGTCTTCGTCTTGACGTGGATTTTGACGTAGAATATTTTATTCTTTGACATAATATACCTATAATTAAGTTTCATGTTACGTTAATGCACTTTGTCGAAAAAAATACTGGGAAATGCCTTTGAAAAAAATACAATAACATTTTGAATTTTTTGTTTAAAATGTATGCATATATATTCGGTATATACATTATATATACTGATTTCTCTTGTTCAGTAACTAATGCTAAAAATTAATGGAGAATGTTTTTGTTCATTATACCATCCTTCTTAAATGACATCTTGTGGGAAAAATGGGTAAAAACAAGTAATAAGTGTAATTTTAAGCCTAAAATGAGTTTTTGTTTTTCTTTTTAAGATTTTTGACGTTTAGGCTGATTTTTTGAGTTTTAGTCTATTCTGAGACTTATAGTAAAACATTAGGGCGAACATTTCAGTAGAATATTCTGAGCAGCTTTTACCCCGTTTTGAATGCGTTTTCAATCACTCCTTGAAAAGGGGACCGAAAAGACCCCTTCAATGAGTCCATTGATGGGGTAAGTTGTATACCAAAATATTCCACAATATTTTATCAGTAATATTGCCGAAGACACTATATACCTAAAATGCAAGGATTTCATGAAATCATAAAATTCTTGAAAAGGGGGAATATTTCCGCGCCTTTTTAGGTATTTTATCAGTAATATATACCTAAAATGCAGGGATTTCATGAAATCATAATTCGAAAATTATCAAAATTCTTGAAATGGGTAAATATTGCCCCGCCTTTTTATGTTACCTCCCAACTTTTAAAACACCGATACACGTGTCTTCTTTTTTTAGCCCCCCTTTCAAAATCTGTTGGAATTTCCCCGTAATTATCTAAAAAATTTAAATTTGTCGCACAGTGTAAATATGAATTTCCAAAACAACCTCCAAACTTCAATTCTACACACCAACAGTAACCCTATTTCCAAAATTCCATTTTCCAGCTCTATGGGTTTACCTAAATCAAAATTGTATCAATTTTAGTACGATTTCGTACTTTTTGTTCGTAAAAGTAAAAGATTTCCAAAACTACTTAAATTTTCTAATTCTACACTCCGACAGTAATGTAATTTCAAATTTCAGGATTCCAGCTCCATCCGTTTCTCTAAATTCGAATTGTACCACATTTAGTACTATTTAGTACTTTTCGTATACATGAGTACACACTTCCAAACCGCATATTTATATCGACCC